CAATAAAGATGACCTTGTCAAAGAGGTTGTTAAAAAAATTATTCCTAACCATGATCTTAAAGAAGAAAATTGCGCTGATGGCATTGAACTTGGTCCAGAGGAAGAGGATGATGATGTTGTGATACCACCTGCTGAGACTTATTATGATAAGGCCAAATCTTTCTTCGACAACATTTCTTGTGAAACAAAGGAACGATTGGAACAACAAGGGCCCGATGGCCGGTTAGAAGTTTTTTTTTATAAAGAAAAATTATTCAAACTTATATATATTATTATATGATAACTATGCATATCTATTAATTGTTAATAGAGGACTGTCTGTGGCTGAACGAAGGCAGAAACAATCTGAAGAAAGACGTCTGAATCTTGAAACATTTGGACAAGTTTCGATTGATGGTGGAAGATATCGCGGTGGTTATCGCAGTCGTGGTTATAGAGGAGGCAGAGGTGGATATCGTGGTGGCCGTGGAATGCGCGGAGGATATTCTAACAATTATCGGGGGAATAACTTTAGAGTATGTTTACATTTGCTTTCTGTGAAGGTTCTATGTTGCTACATTGCTAAATCTACATAAAAATTTTTTTCTTAGCAACAGATTCAACAACAGCAATCATGAGCACAAAAAGAAAAAAAAAGAAAAAGAAATAAGCATATATTCATGGAGATTTAGATATTTTTTTATTCGATATTTTTATATTTACGATCACGGATTTCTTGCTTGTTTGAATTCTCGTTGTTTTTGTTATTCAAGACATCACTTTCACTTTTCATCTATCATCGGGATTTTTAATATCTAATCTGAAATTTGTATAAGATTAATGTGAAGCAATATACATGTTAACGAAGAAAAAAAAAAAGAAAAAAAAAAAAAAGAACAACAATGCATAAATAAGAGGAAGAAAAGAGAGGGAAATCAAATAATATAAGAAAAAAAGAGGCTTCACATGTAAAAAGAAAAAAAGGAAACCTTTTATACATAGTATTTGGCATGTATTTATAATTTGTAGTGTAGCATGGTGAAATTTTTATGTTTTCCTTGTATTCAAAATTTCTTCCAACATTATATATCGTATATTCTCAAAAAAAAAAAAAAAAAACCCCCAGGATTACTGAAGGTTTGATTTATTTTTAATAATTATTTGGATTAAAATTTTGGAGTATTTTATGTCTGTTTTTTTGTTTTTGAGATT